GCTATTGATTTATATGGAAAAGAAAATAGGGGCAATTTTGGAAACGGGATGCAAAAACTATCACATCCGCGAAGCATCATACCCCTAATTTATACAAGACAGTTAAAGATAAACCGGATATAAGATGAAAATATGAAATAGTCCCTAGTCATGAACAAGTTGTTGTTGATGGATACCCCTATCGAGACTTATGAGATTCAGGACTATGATGAACAATAGCAGCAGTTTGAAAATTCTGAAATGATCCCTAATCATGTCGTTGATACACCTATCGAGACTTATGAGATCCACATGGACTATGGATGAACAAGATCAACAGTTGAAAAATTCTGAAACAATAATACCTAATACTAACAGATCTACAAAATGAGATGTCAAAGTTTCTTTTCCATTTTGTTAACCCACTAGAAATACACGAAATTTGTTTTTTGCTACTTCCTTCTTTTTCTATTGATTGTCTGATACATTAAAACTCGGGAGTTTACTTCTGTTGGAACAGTTTCGATGTCCGGATTCGAATAATGTTTTGGAAAGTCCCGAATGCCGTTATTAAGTTACGCCTCTTCGGGATTTTGCTTTTTTCCAGCGATCCCGCGTTCGGGACTCCAGAAAGTTCCTTTTCAAAATCCATTTGTGAAGGGTTTCAAAGTTATAGAGAAAAATACGTCTTTCAAGTGTCCTATTCGAAGGGGAGTAGCTCCTTTAGGAAGCATTTCCGGACCCATGTTAATAGGAACTTTTTGTTTTATTTTTATGCAAGGAATACGCCCCCGGAAGGTTGCCGCTTACTTTTGAATCACCCTGTATATAAATATACCTTTGTTTTTAAAGAAATTAACTTTAATAAAAATTACAAGTTCAAAATATAAAAGCAAAAATACGTGTGAACAGCTCAAAGCCTATGTCGAATCTAAAAACTAAAAGTTTATTCGCATGGGGCATCCTGGTTTCAAACATACACAATTCTCAGGAAACTGCTTATGTCGGCGATGCAATGGTCAGCATGTTCCCACGAATGGCACACATGACTATACTAAGCATGTGCGACGTCATAAAGTTATATGCTTTATGACGTCATAGGCACATTTCATAGCGTTGTATCTCCGTCAATTTTTGACTAAGAAAAAAAGGAAAAACACGTGTTGACTTATTTTTTATCGACTTACGAAATCAGCGATAAAAATTGATGCAAGTTCCGTATTTTCATCGTCAAGTGACGGCTACCGTACTCCAACGTTTTCGTTGGAATTGATACTTGTATAGAGTATCATTCGTTACTTTTACCTTTTTTTTATGAAATCTATTTTATGATCGATTACTATAATTAATTGATTTTTTTCTGATAATATGACATTTAAATATTCAAAATTTTAATTTTGCATTCTTGACCCGAAGTGACGGTTAAATAATTATTTATAATTATATCGAATTTATTATTGATTTATCTTTAATTAACCTTTGATACTGCCATTTTTCAAAAATGTACATATATTTTACTGATCAATAATCTGAACTGAAGTCAAGGTTGGACAATATGTTCTAAATTTAAATTTATTAAGTATAAGTATTATAAGTATACCTACATAGTCAAAAATTGATCAATTTTTGACCTTGGTGCTATAACTTATATATTTGAGGATTTCTGTTGCAATTCCATTTCCTGTAGAAATACCTCCACCATTTAACCTAACCTTTGATTTCATAGAGTTTTAATTTGATTTTATTGAATTTAATTTTTCTAAGCAGAAGCTGACCATCTCTAAATTTAATTTTCTGTTTTCAGTCTTGTTCAAGTTAATGATATGGCCAGAGACTGTTAAGTTAAATTATGTGACAACTATACTACACTTTTCCATAAGTATTTCAGATTCAACAATTCTAGTTCAGAATGTGTCAATTGAATTCGAGTTGTGTAAGTTTAATTTCAGAAAGTAATATCATTTGTGTTTCAGTTTGGTCAGTTGTATATCAGAAAGTCATTTGTTTTTCATTTTGGACAATTGTATTCCAAAAACTCAGACATTTATTTGTTGATCAGAAATTGTAAATTGTATTTCAGAATTCGTCAAATGTATTTCAGATGTTATCAATGTACCTATACTGTGTGAAATAGAATTTATAATGGGTCATCTATACACCTAGCTTGATTGATTTGGGAAAATTTGCGCTTGGCGTTCAAATGCCCATGCGCGTCACATTACATATTTTTACTTATCCTAATAAAATAAATATCCATTATTACCTGACATACAACTGATGATTTCTGAACTACATCTGACAAATTCTGATATAATTCACGTTTTCTGAAATAAAATTAACTAACCTGAAATACAATTGACGCTTTCCGAAATAAAACTGTGAATTGATTTTGATATCACCGTAAAAATATACACTAGTTTAAATTGAAAATTACTTGATTGTTTTATTGGTTTTACCTATGTCAAGATGTGATTGAGTTGTATGCCTTATTTGGTTATTCTTTTTCAGAATTACCAATTATCTTTAGCTAATAAATTTTTTTTAGGTGTGTTTCTGAATATTCATACTTCAATATTTTTCGTATTTCAGTTTTTATTTATTTTTACAAATTCAGTGGCGCCCTTGCCATTCTGTACTTATTTAACTATTGGCCCACCACTCTTAATAATTATTCGCTGAGCAAAGTGAGCATATTATGGTCTTCTAGTTAATTCGTTAACAAAAGGGGTTACAGCACTTAAATAATATATCCTGATTAATTTTGAAGATCCGAATGGGGAAAAATTGGAAATCTACGGATCCGCTATGAACGATTATGATTAGGTATTCAAATGATGGAATGCACATGTTATTATCACTTGCAATAAAACACCCTCAATAGGGTCGTTCAATGAAATTTCATTAGCACGGTTTTTCACATTTTCATGGGGTATTACTCACATATAGCACGTAGAAAAAATTTCAGCTTAATTGGATAACTATTGAAAGAGTTACGCGTTTTTTAATATTAAAACACTTTTGCCTCGGAAATTCATTGCTGTGACGTCATAGCATCTCTCGAGTAGAGACCGGCTAAAGGCCGTCACACACGGTTTTGCATAACGCAATGTCAACTGATTTTCTACTGACAGTTTGGCACACAGTTTGCGGAACTATGCAATATTTATAATTTTTCGTTTTGCATGCTACTTCCAAAATAATTGTGCTCATAAAATTTTGAAACTAAGGGAATTATTCAAATATACGAAATGTGATTCGAAAGAAAAACATCCAGAAACATGAAATGCCAAACTGAAACTTGCCTAAAGGATGCTAAACCAAAACTTGTCAAAACAATGCCCGTATTGTCGAAGTGACTGGCGTACCAGCACCACAAGGACCAACGTGAGAGATGCGGTGACGTCACCGCGTGTTTCAAATTTAGAGTATTTTGATAATTTATTTAAATATGAACAAGGGCTCAGAAAACTATGAAATTTTGCATAACTGCTAAACTCAACACGCTCTTTTAGAATATGTAATAAAAAAATATGCTGTACGAGCCTATTCTATAAGAGGCTGAAAACTGTATTGGAATGATAACCCATATTCTTTCTGCAAGAGTCAGCAAAGAGAAGTCTAGTAATAACAAACCATGTTCTCATATTTGGCTATAAAACATTTCAAGTCAATTAAGTAAGATCTAACTAAAAATATTTAAAAATGATGTAGAATTTTGCATTTATCACTAGAGCCAAAGGATTGGATTCCATTCATTTGAATTTGCCCAACGTGCGAAAGCTCATATAAAAAGTGCTCCGTTAAAATAACAACTTTTGGAACTTCTGAACTAAGTATTAAATTCGGATTTTTTTCCAAAAAAGTAGTATGATATACAAGCGTGCCAATGATTAAGTTTTCATTTATCGAATTCGAGTGGAAATTTAAATATTTGTACTTTGCTCACCACTGATTATTACTGTGTGGAGAAACAAGTTAGTAGGTATAGGTATGTGCTAAACAAATTAAAAAATTAATAGCGAGTAGGGAAGTTATTGCATTCTTTTCTTTTAAAATTATGGATTTCAAGTACTTAACAGTAAAACCACTAAAGAAATAAAAAGCCTGTTTTGCATTGTTTGCGCTAACGTTTTTTATAAAAGTTGTTCGGAAAGAAATGTCTTCCAAAAACTTGAGCAGCACAAAATCATATGCTCCAAAACTTGCTGTGAAGTCTTTGAGCAAGGTAAAAACAACCTACTCTTGATACTAAAAATCCAGGGTCATATTTAGAAAAATAAAGTTGATGATGGTGGCCCAAAGACGAATGGTGAAACGTCAGATTTTAAATTTGATAGTGGCATCTTGTAGAGGAGAAAAAGTGGCAATGATCAAGTGACATTTATTTTAGGATATATCTTCAAATAAGCTCAGAAAAAAACAATTTTTTTATAATTTCGGTTTATTCCGAATATTTTCGGAATTTTTACATTTTCAAAACGGTATTTTGTTAAGCATAAAATTACGTAACTTTGCCATAATTTAACCAATCCTGTATCCCTTGCCGTTTTCTATATCCCAATGATACTGCTCGAATTTGGGACACCCTGTACTTTACTTTTAATGTTTCAGTTAACTATACCAAGCCTTTCTTTATAGATTTATCCATGTACTTATTTTTTTTTCGGATTTAGAACCAAATTATAGCTTTGTCAATAAGTTTATTGTGAATTGGACAATAAAGCATGCTTCTTTTTTTCTTTCTTTTTTGGAGATTTTTGTTACTGTTCGAGAAAACTATATCTTTCTTCCGTATTGACTATTGGCCAATACAAGTTGTTTTTTTAATGAGGTTTAAGAAATATTAATATTATTTTCATCTTTATTACTTTGTGATAGACAGTTTTGATAGACTTTAGATATTAGAAATAATGCAACAAATCAATACTTAATTAACTGATTTATTGGAATGACTAAGTAAAGTACACTAAGTAAATTTTGAACTATAAAATTTACTCTATTAGAAAATGAAAAAGTAAATAGGTCCCTACTTGATCCTTAAAAACAGAACTAAAATCTATTCGAGTAAACAAAATACCCAAATTAAGTATAAAACATTCTTTTCAGACAAAACCTGCTGTTCAAGTTTGAACAGAAACACATAATTACAATTAATAAAAAAAACATAATAAGTCTAGAAAAACTCATTCTATCACTCCTTTAATAAAGAGATTCTCTGATTCCTTCAGCTTGTTTTTCATTTCATTCAACAACTGTTCAAGCTCAATTTCATTAAGTCCATTGGCAATTTGGGCTTTAAAATCTTTAATAGATTCCTTAATAATCTCATCACCTTCTTCAATGATTTTCTTTTTAATGGGAATTTCAAAATCTTTTATAAACTTCAAATCTTCCTGATGTTCTAGAGCACTTAAATTTTTTGAAGCCCAATCCAAAACATCAGAAGGAAATTCTGCTATTTTGGCACAATGGATGCCATAACTTTTATCACATTCGCCTTCTTTAACTTGATATAAAGGTGTTATGGCATCTTTAGAAGTGACAGCTGACACATGTAGATTGCCAACTGTAGGACATGTATCCGCAAGTTTAGTGATTTTATGAAAATGAGTTGCAAATAATGAAAAACACTTTACATATGTGGCTAGGTGTTCAGCTATAGCCCAAGCAATGCCACACCCGTCATATGTAGAAGTGCCTCTGCCTAATTCATCAACTATAACCAATGAATTTTTAGTAGCGGTTGTAATGATGGTGGAAATTTCTATCATTTCCAACATAAAAGTTGATAATCCTTTAAGCTGGCAGTCGTCTGCGCCTACTCGGGCCAATATACCGTCGACTAATGATAATTCCGCATATTCACAGGGTACCCAACATCCTATATGAGCCATCAAGACACATACTCCGATTGATTTAATGTAAGTACTTTTACCGCACATATTTGGTCCAGTGATAATGTAAAAAGTCTTGCTGTTTTGATTGAAATGGGCATCGTTGGGGATGAAGTCGAGGTGGTCTTGTTGTTCTAAGCAAGGGTGTCTCACCTAGAAATTTTTTTGAAGATCATTTTTCAATTAAATTATATTGCGGAACGAATGAAATGAGACATAGAGCAAAACAAAATGTGATTCAAATGAAGAAAGTATTGCTAGGCATTTTACAAGCCTATTTTGGTTCAGCAACTTACCTTCTTCAACTCAAGAACTCGTTCCTCAATTGGTTTCAGCACAGGACGAACATATGGCACTTTGGCCGACACAGCGGCAGTTGCAAACGAGCTCAAAACATCCAGCGATGCCAAAATTATGTTTATGCTGCGAACCGTATCAGCATATCCAGCAGCTACTTTCAATATTTCGTCAACCATGCCCTTTTGTAATTCCTCATATTTTTCATTTATTGCTGAATATTCTTCATTCAACATGACTAGTTTTTCCGTGTTGAAACGGACTCCGCCAGCAACAGTGTCGATAATTTTGTATTGTTTTGCCTGAATCAAGGAAAAAAAAGGTATAGGATGTAGGTATCCAAATTTTGTGTAATTATACATCATAGTTCATAAGCCTAGCATAAAGAAACTAACTACATAATTACATACAATTGTTTTTAACAAATGGCCAAAAAGTTATTAGCTTTGTATGACTTATGTTCCAGAATGATTTTTGTTTGTATTATAAACTTTTTCAAACAATATATCATAATTACTTGCAAGAAATTGTCGACTTTAATGTAATACGCAGGGTAATATGTATAGGATGTTTGAGCCTTATTATTATAGCTAGGTACCGACTATTTTTGGAGTAGAATAATTTATTTACCTGTCGCAAAGCTTGTTCTTCTTTCTTAGTTATTCGGAAAAAGTATCCATGTTGAGGATTACATTCCAGCTTCACTGACTTCCCTTCCTCCAAATTTAAATCGTTTGCAGCTTTTCTTAATAGTTTGTGCATTTTTTCTTCTATGCTTTGCTTGGATTTCTGGAGTTCATTGATGTCTGAGTCAATGTTGCTTTTGATCAAAAATTCGCATCTGAAAATAAAAATTAGCTGAAGTTTTCCTCTGGCATACAATTCTTGTTGGTTTTATACTCTACGCATATTAAAATACGTAAAACTGAAAAAATATCAGAAATACAGGCTCTTCAAAGCATACAAAACTCTTTTTATGAGTATAACATACCCTTGTAAAATTATTTGTGTAAAATACAAAATTTTATTTACAACCGTTTAGTGAGTGTTATCTACAATATCTATGGAATACAAGTTTAATACAATATTATTAGTGTGGAACCAGCCCTTGAGGAAACAGAAAGACGTTCGACAGCAAATATGTTGCAAAATTGAAAAAGTAGTCCATGACTCAAAGTGGAGTTGAAATTTGGAATCGAAAGAACACACAAATATTTTGTGTGGGGGAAGACTTTGTGTTTCTTTTGTTTTCAAATTTGTTGCTGTAAGGAGTGAAGGAATTTGATATACAAAACAAAGAGGAGAAGATTGGAGCTGAACTAAACACAGTCAAGGATATTCTGCAGCAGATAGATGTAAAGGTATCCGACAGTGACATGACCGAGGACATGACCCTACATAAATTAGGAAACTACAACACAGAAAAGATGAGACCTATTGAAATATTTTTCACACCCAAAGATCATGCAAAACCAGCATTGATACAAAAACATAAACTAGAAAACACTGCTGGAGTTTATATAAAGAGTGATCAAAGTCAGATGCAGAGAAAATTTTTAGCAGATCTCTTAGCTGAACTTTAAAGAAGAAATGATCAAGGTGAAAATGACAAAGATTAAATACATTAACTCCATAACCAAAAAAGTTAAAGAACAATAAAAAAACTGAAAACGTCCCTAATTGAAGTCTCTCTGTGGTTTAACAAACTGTGTTGTATGACAAACCGAGATTGATGAACTTGAGGTAAGCATACAAAACACCAACACATGCATAATTCTAATCACCCAAAGATGGGTGAATGATCGCATTCCAGATAGCCTAATCCACATACCAGGTTACCTAATATTCCGCAAAGACGCAGGAGCAGAGGGAGGAGGCTTGTGTGTTTTTGTAAAAAAAAATTATATTGCAGGGCCCAAAGTTCATGCAACAATCAACCAATATTTTGCCACCACAGAACCCATTAAATCCCCATGGCTTGATATTGCCTTAAGTAAGATAAAATTTCTGATAGAATGTACTTACAGACCTAAACAAGAACTAGTACAAGTTATTGAAAATGCAATGTTCCCTAAAACAACTGGTGTACATGATGATAGACTTCAACTACCCCAAAATAACCTGGAAAACATTGGTGGTGCATCCGCACAACCAGAGTAGTTAAGACTTTCTGGACAGCCACAAAAATCATAGAGGTCTATTTAGAGATGGCAAATTCTCGAGAATTTATTTTGAGAGAATTTTCTTGGAGAATATTCGGGAACATTGGAGAATATTAGAGAATTTCAAAGAATATAGCTTCTTAACATCATTTGGGGCTTTTCGCATTTTTTTCATACACAAAATCAGACATCCCCGCACACATCTTATGGAATTTTGGTGCCTGGTCAAATTTGATGAGATTTTGGTATGTTGTTTTTCTTGAGGTCCTGATCAAAAGGGTTCATGGGCACAAATGAATCCTATGATTAGTTTTTGAGATACAGGGTGCTTGAAAAGTTGAATATTCGATTTCAATTATGTGCTCCACAAACTATTTATTGGGGTTTGGACGAAAATGATTGAGATGAAACAATATTTTTACATAAATTGTTGAATTCATATAAACTGCATACCTAAACGATTTTGTATGAAACGTTATCCTTTTTTTTGCACCGGTGTGAAGTTAGCAGCCTTTTTGCAGCAGCCAAAAATGTGAAGTTAGCAGCCATTTGTAGCAGCCAAAATTGTGAAGTTAGCAGCCATTTTTTGCCAGCTCTTTTTTTTTTAAAAATGGTTGATTTACAAATTTTTAGTACATTATTATTATATACCCTATACCCTCGTGTAAAGTACAACAGGAAAACAAAACAAAAACTACCCCTAATAAAACAACAGTAGAACATTAATATCTACAAAACAACTTTTTTAAAATAAAATGTAACACCATTAAATTTAGAATAGTCTTTAAAATAGCCCTCAAGTACGTCTAGTTCGAAGAACAACCCCTTATTGCCGTCAGGCTGGGATCAACCCTTATTATTAAAATAATTGGAAAAACACATTTCTGAAAACTGTAACGCTCTGAACTTGCTTAAGACGATAACTAGAACCATTTCAAATATTCCCTCAAAAGGACAACCCCTTACCTGCCATCGGAGTATGTTAAAACTACCCTTAGTACGAAAATAATAGAAAAAACTTAGAAAAGCACATTTCGGAAAACTGTACGCTCTGAAACTTGATTGGGACGATAACTGGAACCATTTCAAACATTTCCTCCAAAGGACAACCCCTTACCTGCCGTCGGAGTGTGTTAAAAACTACCCTTAGTACGAAAATAATAGAAAAAAATTGGAAAAGCACATTTTGGAAAACTGTAACGCTCTGAAACTTGATTGAGATGGTAGCTAGAACCATTTCAAACATTCCCTCCAAAGGACAACCCCTTACCTGCCGTCGGAGTGTGTTAAAAACTACCCTTAGTACGAAATAATAGAAAAACATTGGAAAAGCACATTTCGGAAAACTGTAACGCTCTGAAACTTGATTGAGACGGTAGCTAGACCCATTTCAAACATTCCCTCCAAAGGACAAACCCCTTACCTGCCGTCGGAGTGTGTTAAAAACCACCCTTAGTACGAAAATATTAGAAAAAAATTGGAAAAGCACATTTCGGAAAACTGTAACGCTCTAACACTTGATTGGGACGATAGCTAGAACCATTTCAAACATTCCCTACAAAGAACAACCCCTTACCTGCCGCCAGAGTGTGTTAAAAACTACCCTTAGTACGAAAATAATAGAAAAAAATTGGAAAAGCACATTTCGGAAAACTGTAACGCTCTGAAACTTGATTGAGACGGTAGCTAGAACCATTTTAAACATTCCCTTCAAGGACAACCCCTTACCTGCCGTCGGAGTGTGTTAAAAAACCACCCTTAGTACGGAAATAATAGAAAAAAATTGGAAAAGCACATTTCGGAAAACTGTAACGCTCTGAAACTTGATTGGGACGATAACTGGAACCATTTCAAAACATTTCCTCCAAAGGACAACCCCTTACCTGCCGTCGGAGTGTGTTAAAAAAACTACCCTTAGTACGAAAATATAGAAAAAAATTGGAAAAACACATTTCCGAAAACTGTAACGCTCTGAAACTTGATTCAGACGATAACTTGAAACATTTCAAACATTCCCACCAAAGGACAACCCCTTACCTGCCGTCGGAGGGTGTTAAAAACTACCCCTTAGTATGAAAATAATAGAAAAAAATTGGAAAAAGCACATTTCGGAAAACTGTAACGCTCTGAAACTGATTAAGACGATAACTAGAACCATTTCAAACATTCCCTCAAAAGGACAACCCCTTACCTGCCGTCGGAGTGTGTTAAAAACCACCCTTAGTACGAAAATAATAGAAAAAAATTGGAAAAGCACATTTCGGAAAACTGTAACGCTCTGAAACTTGATTGGGGACGATAACTGGAACTATTTCAAACATTTCCTCCAAAGGACAACCCCTAACCTGCCGTCGGAGTGTGTTAGAAACTACCCTTAGTACGAAAATAATAGAAAAAAATTGGAAAAGCACATTTTGGAATAACTGTAAACGCTCTGAAACTTGATTGAGATGGTAGCTAGAACCATTTCAAACATTCCCTCCAAAAACAACCCCTTACCTGCCGTCGGAGTGTGTTAAAAACTACCCTTAGTACGAAAATATAGAAAAAAATTGGAAAAGCACATTTCTGAAAACTGTAACGCTCTGGAAACTTGATTAAGACGATAACTAGAACCCATTTCAAACATTCCCTCCAAAGGACATCCTTTTACCTGCCGTCGGAGTGTGTTAAAAACCCACCCTTAGTACGAAAATAATAGAAAAAAAATTGGAAAAGCACATTTCGGAAAATTGTAACGCTCTGAAACTTGATTAAGACGATAACTAGAACCATTTAAACATTCCCTCAAAAGGACAACCCTTACCTGCCGTCGGAGTTAGTGTTAAAAACTACCCTTAGTACGAAAATAATAGAAAAAAATTGGAAAAGCACATTTCTGAAAACTGTAACGCTCTGAAACTTGATTGAGACGGTAGCTAGACCCATTTCAAACATTCCCTCCAAGGACAACCCCTTTACCTGCCGTCGGAGTGTGTTAAAAACCACCCTTAGTACGAAAATATTAGAAAAAAATTGGAAAAGCACATTTCGGAAAAACTGTAACGCTCTAACACTTGATTGTGGACGATAGCTAGAACCATTTCAAACATTCCTACAAAGAACAAACCCCTTACCTGCCGCCAGAGTTGTGTTAAAAACTACCCTTAGTACGAAAATAATAGAAAAAAATTGGAAAAGCACATTTCGGAAAACTGTAACGCTCTGAAACTTGATTGAGGACGGTAGCTAGAACCATTTTAAACATTCCCTTCAAAGGACAACCCCTTACCTGCCGTCGGAGTGTGTTAAAAACCACCCTTAGTACGGAAATAATAGAAAAAAATTGGAAAAGCACATTTCGGAAAACTGTAACGCTCTGAAACTTGATTGGGACGATAACTGGAACCATTTCAAACATTTCCTCCAAAGGACAACCCCTTACCTGCCGTCGGAGTGTGTTAAAAACTACCCTTAGTACGAAAATAATAGAAAAAAAATTGGAAAAACACATTTCCGAAAACTGTAACGCTCTGAAACTTGATTCAGACGATAACTAGAAACATTTCAAACATTCCCACCAAAGGACAACCCCTTACCTGCCGTCGGAGTGTGTAAAAACTACCCTTAGTATGAAAATAATAGAAAAAAAATTGGAAAAGCACATTTCGGAAAACTGTAACGCTCTGAAACTTGATTA